TTTTTTAATAAATTTAAAAAATCCACTAATAATTGAGTCAAACATTCTTGTTTAGCTATAGTTCTTGGAAATTTTCTTTCATATTTTCCACAATGTTTGATTCAAGGGAAGAAGAATGGAGAAAAGAAAATGTAAAGGGAAACAAAAGCAAGGAAAAGAGAAACTAGCACATATTATTCTTTAAATTTAATTTATGTTAGGATTAATTTGAAAATTGTATTTTAAGGCACCCAATAAAATTATATGTGAAAATTTTTTAAAAGTATGAAATCAATATCATGCATTAATTTTCCCTAATCTATCTTAATTCTTTTTATCAAACTTATGACTTATCTAATGAATAAAATAAATTGAAGAAACAAGTAAAGAAAAATTGACTTAATAAAAAAATTGATAGTAACAGTTAGGCAATTCCATGTTCACCATCTAAAAATTTTTTTTGAAAGATTTAGATAAAGCTTCTTAAGTGAAGTTTATGAAATTCTCTACTAGAAATGATTAAATAAAATTGAAAATCAAAACTAATAGATTAAAAAATCTCTTTAAATAGATCAAGTGTGTAAATTTTCAAAAAATTTTAATAAATTTTGATATATCTTTTAGATAGATTTTTTTAGTGAAAATATTGATATAATTTTTACTATTAAATAAATATCAATCAAATTTAAATTATAAATAGCATTTTTAATAATTGTTTACATATTATTAATCTTCACATTGAATTCTATCAATTTATCGATTTGGATTTTTTATTAAAGTTTTTATTAATTTATTTTCAAAAAGAAACTTCATAAACTTCAATTAAAAACTTTATATAAGTTTTGTCCAAAATTTTCTCTCTTCACTTCGGATGGTCTCATAGTCCTTTGTGCACCTATACATGTAAAATATATATATATATATATATATATATAAAGTTTGATTGTATTTGAGATTGGTTCAATTTTATTTTAAAATTTTCAATTATGTGCTTATTTATTTATTTATTTATATATGATGTGTTCATTTGTTAGTTAGTTAGTTAGTTTGATTTAATTAAGTAATTTTTTATATAGACATAATGCTGGATTATAGATATAATTTCTACTTGTATTTTTTTATAAAATTACAAGTATAAGTTTCGATCATAATAAATTATTACATAACGGAGTAATCAAACAAATAAACTAATAAACAAACCATAATATAACTAGCTAAATTTAATATAAAATTGAAACAAACCTATACATAATAAGATTTGAATTTAGAATTTCATGGTTTTAAGGACTCTTCCTTACCACTGAGTCAAAGTCTTATTAGGTACTTGTAATTTTAATTTCATAAAAAAAAAAAGATAAATAAGATTTATTTAATTGAAACATGTTCATTTAAGACTAAAAGAGGTCCATATACTCTGCCAAAATTTATAATTTAGTTCTTGTACTATAATTCATATAAATTTAATTTTTATATTATTTTAATTTGATAATCTTAATTTAATTATTAATTTTATCAATTTTTACCCTAAAAATTACTGACACGACCATTAACTTAATGACATTGGCAATTAACTTTGTTAATGTGACATTGATTTTATTAACATGAAAATTTGAATGAATGAAATCTATTATTAAATTATACAAATGATTAATATATTTACACAAACTTTGAAATTTAATGTCTTTAATATAAGTTTATAAAAATTTCACCCTCATGTAAATAAAATTTAATATTATTAATTCAATTACTAATAAAAATAATTTTTTTTACTTTTTTTTTATCTAACAATCTACTAACAAATCATATCGCAATCTATAAATTTTCAAAGCTTTGGTTTGTGAGCATCTTGACTTCTACAAATAATAAATTCTTAATTTATGAATAACATTTTCTTTGAATGAGTGGATAATTATAAAACAATATCTAGGGTTTTTTTTTTTTTTTGGGAATAGCAATAGGCAATATTAAATTAATTAAAATACCTTGTCAATATTTTTTTAGTTTCGTCATCAAATATGCTCTGTTTTGATTAGATTCTATTCTAAGATCACTTTAGCATTATATATTAACGGTGGCGGTGCGCGGAGAGCCTAGTGTAAGGTTTGATCAATTATATATATGTCCAAATAGTAATTCAAATAATAATAATAATAATAATAATTTGATTTACTATTTTTATTCTAAGCTGTTTTTTTTATTTTATAAGAGTGTAAATATGAATATATATGTCTAATGCGTTTATATATGCACTTTTATACCCTAAAACAATGAATAAAAATATTTTAAATTAATAAAATATATACTAATATGTAAAGTTTGTTTTAGATATAAATATGTTAGATTAATATAAAATTTTGTAGTTTTAACAATAATGCTAATTAAAACTTTGATGATAATTTTTTTAATAATAATAATTATATATTAAATATATAGTTGTATATTGTAAAAATAATTGAAATTAATAAAATTCATGTAAATTTTGTTTCATGTACATAATATATATTTGGATTTTGAACAATAAATATATTCATTATTGCTAATTTATATTAAATATTTCATATTTTTTCATTTTAAAAAAAATTGATTAAATAAAAAGAAATGAAATGAAAAGTTAGTATATTCATTCCTTATTAACTTTTAAAAAAAATTAGTGTTAATAAAAAGGTAGAATAAAAGTTTGCATAAATACATACATACATATATATATATATGTGTGTGTGTGTGTGTGTGTGTGTGTGTGTGTGTGTGTGTAAAATTATGTTTTACAAAATAAATACAAATTTTAAATGTTTTTATTTTTTCTGAAATTCCTTTAAATAAAAAGCTACCATATTAATTTCAATATTTACAAGTTTTAATTTTTTAATAAATTAGTATTATTAAAAAAGCAAAATATGAAAAGTAGCATATTGATGTTTTAATATTCTATTAATTCATGATTTGAAAATAAACATTTAAATATATATAAATCAATTTGTCAAAATTTTCATGTTCTTTATCATTAAATTTAATTAAAATGGTACGAATAAAAAAGTCAATAAATATTGCCATATTAATTTTAATCTTTTCATATTCAATTTATTTTGAAAAATTTTTCATATTCTAATAACCAGTAAATTTAAGTAAAATGGTAGTGATAAAAAAGTAAAAGAAAACATTATTATATTAATTTTAATCTTTCATATTTCATTAATTAATAATTTAAATATAACTATTTTAAAGAAAAAAAATACAAATTATATACTTTATTTGAAAATTTTTTCATATTATATTAATCAATTAAATTAATTAAAATATTAAAAAGATAAAATATCACAAAACTTTATCATATTAATTTTAATCTTTTCATATTCAATGAATTAATTTCTCTTTTATGGATTGAGTCAATTTAATTCTTGTATCTTAAAATTCAAAAGCAAAATTTTGAATGAAAATGAAATTAAATAAGATGAAATTTAATATTATATTATGATTTAATTCCGAATTTTGTAATTGTACTTAATTTTATTGAATTATTTCAATTGAAAAAATAAGTAGTATGTGATTGTGCTTTGATATCTCTAGTATAATTCAATATTAGCCAATGAGCCGACAATAATAATGAATGAAAACTATATAATAAATACAAGGTTAGATTTAAATTCCAAGGAGATTAAAACATTTTTAATATTTACCAATTAAATATATGAATAATATTTAATTACATGTGATTTTTTAAAATATAATTTAATTCCATGTGATCCCAAATAATGATATCAAATATGCACACCTAAGAAAAAATGTTGGGGTCATGGAAAAGTTATAAAGTGATAAAAGAGAAAATATATATATTAGGAAGTATAAAATCCGAGTAGGGTAAAAAAGAAACCAACTTTTTTTTTTTCAATAAAAGCATTAAATTTCTATGAATTGATTTAGTTAATAAAGTTATATATTATTTTATAATTTATCAATTATTGGTTTAGCCTTATGCACACCCATTATGCAGGTGAAAAAAATAAAAAACTTGATTATTTAAATAAATATAAATTAAAAAAGTGAAAAAATGGTTAAAATGACAAAAAAATTCATGAACTTTATCTCTTAATTACTTAAATAAGTGATTATACTTTTATTGCTTTCAACATTTAATTTGCATTTAAATAATTTTTTAATTTTAATTTATATTTAAATAAACACTTAATTTTTAGCTTATTCTAAATAAGCTCTTGCATAAATTAATATTTGGCTTGAAATAAATATTTATTTAAATACAAATCAAAGGATAATGGTTTCTTTGGACACAATAAAAGTATAAAAATTTATTTTTAAAAAATAAAATAGTTAAGGGATTTTTTAAATATTTTAAACAAACAAAAATTTATAAATTTTTTAAAATGTTAAAGAGAGAACAGGTTTAATAACTGCATATACAATTTTTAAATATAGAGAAAATATAAGAAGTGGGTTTATAAAATATGAATTCTTTCTCTACTTTAAAGGAAAACAAATTATTGTTATATCGTTATTAATACATAGTTATTTTATTTTTTATTTTATTTTTGTTAATTTTTCAAATGAATTCATGTCTTTTAACTCGTGACACCAATTGATTCTATTTTTTATTTTTAAAACTAAGGACAAAATAAATTGTAAAATGTCTTCTTAAAACACTAAAATCCCATAATTTAAAATAGTTAATTAAAAACATCTAATACTCAAAATTGAAAAAATATGTTAAGGGTTTACTTTCTTTATTCAAAGTCAAAGTCAACAAATTTTCATATGCATTTAAAAAATTCTATTTTTTTCTTTTTTTAAGGCTTGGACATCCTTGTTATTATGGTGTAAAATTTATTTTTAATTAATATTTATATAAATATTTGAAATCACTAATAAAATCCTTTCCTTCAAGTCAAAATTTCACCTAATTATAACCTTTAAAAACAATTTCAAAATTCAAATCATTTAATGGAACTTTTAAATTTCTTATCCAGCTCCAGCACAAGGAAATCCTGGTTCCCAACTGGGGACGACTATATTCAAGCAACCAAACATACCCACTATGATATCTGCAAAAGTTTTGCTTTGTCTGCTAAAGCCCCCAATTGCAAAACCTTAAACCTCTCACCTGTTTCAAAAATGGCTCTCCTCCAAACTCACACACTGTCTCAGCCAATTCCTTCGCTTCTTTCACCCATCTTTTCTTCACCAAAAACCCATTTCCAAAACTCATTCTTCTTCTCTACTTCCAAGATTAGACCTTTCTCACTTTCAACACAACCAAGAAAGTTGCTTTGCAAACCCCCACTTGGCAAATATATCAGGGAAGATTATCTTGTGGTAAAATGTTTCTTCTTTCTTTCTTTTTTTTTTTTTTTTGGCATTCTGGGTTTGTTTAAAATTTGGAAAAATGAAGAGAAACGGAATGCTTTTGTGAATATTTAATCTTTTTAGATTATTCATTATTGGAAAGATTAAGGAAGTGAAATGGAAGATTTTTACTTGGAATTCAAGATAGTTTTAGCTTTATTCATTTGTCTTTTCTGTTTTTGTTTTCCTATTAGTTTTCTTGCTAGACAAACAGGTGAAAATGTACATTTAAATTGAATTTGTAGCCGTTTTGGCTGTGTGGGTTGGTTTGTTTACCTAATTGCTCTATTGGGCTGCTGAAAATTTGAGAAAATAATGGAATTTGGAGAGTTTTACTGTACTTGGAATTGAGGATATAAATTATTGATGGGAAGGGGTTGCTTTTTTTTTTTTTTTTTTTCATATGCTAATGGTGGTTTTTGGACTTTTGAAATGTGATGACTTGATTTATCATTTTGTGTGAGTAGAAAAAGAAGTCAGCCCAAGAAATTGAGGAGCTACTAAGGGGGGAGAGAAGTGTACCCATAATTATCGATTTCTATGCAACATGGTGTGGGCCATGTATTTTGATGGCTCAAGAACTTGAAATGGTAAGCTTTATTTAATCAGTTTCCTCTTTGGTGTTGTCTTCGATAACTGTGGATTATTATGAAAATGATAGGATGGCTAATAGTTAAAGTTTTGTCCCAGTTGCTCGAGATCAGAATCTTTCGAGTTTCAACTTATTTTGCAGTGTGTAACCACCATGTAGAACACAAAAAAAAAAAAAAAAGGAAAAGTTATATGTTTGTGTTTACACTTGTTATCTTTTCTCCTCAAGCTTAGGACAAAGGAGATAGCCTTCCCTCAACCGTCATGAATGTACAATTAAATCATAGGCCTCTAAAATCATTCTAAAAGAATTTTCTGACTATCCTAGAACTTATGTGAAGTTTACATTTAGTTCGAACAGATAGAATCTGTGAATAAGGATAGTATTTTCCCTTATCTGGAGAATAGTGTACTGGTGTGGTGTGAATTTTAGCTTATCGTCAATTGTAGTAATGTTTACCGTTAAAACGACTGAAATTCTTTATCCTTTTTTTTATAATTTTGCGATAAAAATTTACCATAATAACCCAACTGCAATCATACTAATACTTATAATTAAAAAGACTAAACTTCTTGATCCTGATTTTACAATTTTTGCAATAAAAAATCCCAAAATAACCTAATTGCCATGCTGCATTATTAAAAGCAAGATCATTGTAGGATCTGGCTTTGGATGTTGGGTCATAAAGAGTTAAAATCCTACTTTATCAACGTAGTAGAAGGCAAAACCATGATTTCAAGATTTCAGCTGAGATTGTATCAGCCATGATCTGGTCTGACTGCAGAACTTGCAGAAGTAGATTAAATGCATAGTACAAGTTGTAGTTTTCCTGTTGATGGATCTTAAGAGCAATAAAAACAAGCCAATGCACTAGACTATAGCTGAAAACTAAAAAGGAAAATAATGGGCGGGGGAAGCAACTCCATGACCAAAGAGGTTTAGACATGCAGGTGCACTCTATGTTATTGATGTAGTTTCATAGAATAAGATGAGTATGGTGTGGGACTTCATTTTCTCTTCCAGAGATCCAGGTTGGTAAGGAGCACCCATTTTTCTCCAGGAGAGCAGCCTCTGTAGAAGAATTAAAGGAGTAGAGACCTGTTGACATTTTTCCATTGGTACAATAAACTTTCTGGCATTTTGTACTACAGAATTTTCTGCTAAAGAAATGATGTTATTGCGAGTTTTCCACAAACATGTTCTGAATCTATCATTCCTTAACATAGAATCAACTTAATTTTTTGGGAAAGTAGGTCCTAAAAATGGCATTGGAAAATGCTGCAGTTTTGCAATTAATGCACAAGTTAGCTGCTTGCTGACCATTCCAATTCATCACAGTTATGAAAGATAGCTTCTATATATTCTAAATGTTTTGAGATGCCACTTTCCGGAAAGTGTCAAAAAGATGGCCCTTAACTATGTTATGTCCTAGAACCCACTTAAATCACCATGCGGGGCTTAAGTAACACTTTCATCCATCTCTTCGCAAATTAAATTCAGACATTTGATTGCATTAAACCAGGCTTTCCTTTTTATATTTGGTTGCTTAGTTATAAAAAGTTTTTGAGTCAAACTATATTTTGTATCGCATTATTCACTGAAATTTATACTCATTAACCGATGTTGAAAAAGTTTGGAGTAGTTGGTTAATGTAACAAGTAGGACCAGCTTGATTTGTTTGATCCAGTTTGGAGATTAACTAAGGTATAATCTCTATATCTATATTTTTTTTTGTCACAGCTAGCAGTGGAGTATGAGAAAAATGCAATTATTGTCAAAGTTGATACTGATGATGAGTATGAATTTGCACACAATATGCAGGTAATTTTCAAGTAATATTCATTTCTTAAGTTCTCCTTTCCCCTCCTTTTCACTGTTTGTGTCTAGTGCACATATTCTGTAATGGCAGCAACCACTCGCCTAATTTAAAACAGCTGTTTTGCATTTTAGGTCAAAATGACTGGAAATCCTCCTGTCAGTTTAGTATAGTGTGTGACCTGAGTGGAACTTGAAATTCTGTTGTACCAGGTTAGAGGGTTGCCGACTTTATTCTTCATCAGCCCTGATCAAAACAAACAGGCAATCCGTACTGAAGGCCTCATTCCAATACAAATGATGCGGGATATCCTAGACAATGAAATGTGAGAAGAACAAGACTAATTTACTTACTGCTTAATGGAGTTAAGGTACCGGATTTTTCTTCCAACCATTAATACGTATCTTCTCGGTACCAATTTGTACACATTGTGGTTCGAAGTTGTTTAATTTGTACCCAAATTTGGATGGAGTTAAAACAATTTTTTTTACTGTATAGATGGAATGGAAAGGATCTTTTCTTTGTCAAAAGATTCTGAACTAGTTTTAAGGAGGGAAATGCATTGAAAAGTTCATTACTTTTTCGACCGAAGTGTTCTAAGGGCACACTTTAAGATTATTGTATCAAGTAATATATTTTTTCAGTGCATTTAATACAGTAATATTACTTTAAATTGTAGGTTTTGGTTCTTGGAAATCATGGCTGAATGACGTTTGTTTTGTTGTTAACTCGGATATGTGGTATGAATCCAACGACTTTGGAATCTTTGAAGTAGTTCCAACTGGTTCAAACATTTTGACAATGTGTCATAGTTTAAACTGTTTTTATGCTACCAAATCATGGTTACAATGCAGTTTCCTACACTTAGAATTTTCAATGTAAAGATGCATCTTTGATTTAATCTTCTTTTTGCTGGAAATAATATAAGAATAAGAATACAATTTCAAGATTTTTAGCAGAGATTGCATCAGCATTCAGCACAACTTTGCAGAAATAGATTAAATTCAGAGCACGAGTTGTTGGTAGGGAATATTCCACACTGTAATTTTCATATTATTGGATCTTAAAACGACTTAAAGATGCTAGAAAAAAAAACAAGTGAAATCGGCCGTGGTATTATGAAAGATTAAAATATTAAGACATTATCGTGTATCTCGAAAGTGAATTTTTATTTTAATCTACAAGCGAAGGTTATCACATGTTAAGTCAACTATAATTAAGAAAATTAACTGATTAATATGATCATGGACATACAAATATCTAATGTGACAATAGTCGATGAAACTAACAAAATATTTCAATTTCTTTTCTTACAAAAAAGATCAGAGTATGAAAATTATAGTGTAATCGATCAAGTTTGAGTCGATACAGTATTAAGCTCAAGCTCAACTTTAAATTCGAAACTCGATTTGAACTTGATAGAATTATATTTTTTTAATTCGAGCTCGATTCGAAATAAAAATCGAGCTCCTCGAGCTCACTTTATTAGACTCGATTAACATGTAAAAATAAGTTTGATTTTTATATTCAACAAAAGCTTGATTATTTGTGCTTGAGCTCAAACTCGAACTTGAGTTCGAGATATTTTTTCAATTAAAATTTATTAAAATATAAAAGCTTGATTAAGCTCGTGAGCTACTTAAGTCGAGTATAAAAATGTTCAAATTCGGCTCGATTAATAAGTCAAGCTACTCAAGTTCGAACTCGACTTGATAATAATTGAGTAGAATTTGAGTTTTATTCAAGTTGAACCCGAATAACTTACGAGTACTAATGTATTATTTATACTCTTAATTAAAATAAAAAAAATCACAATATGATGTCATTTATTAAAAGTGGTTGTATAAATCAATTTAATTACAATTTAATTTTTTTAAGTTGAATTACATAGAAAAATATGATATTTCCATATTAGAAAAAAATTATGTCATTTACATCAATAAATTAAAAATTACTGTAATATTTTTAAAAAAATCAATAATAATATATTTAGAGATGGTATAAAAAGAATTCATGTTCAACCTTAGGCCGCTGAAACCGCCCATTGAGACTTGAAGAAAGGTAGAACATTCTTATTTGATGAACATAGGAGTTCATATTAATTGTGTCAAAGTTACATATATCAATTATTTTTGTGATATGATCATAAGAATAGTATCCCATGAGGCCAAATTGCTTTTCAAAATCACTGTAGTTACGACCAACTTTTCCAAAATTGAAATGCTAATCTAATTTTAAAGCATGAGATCATAATAATAATAATGTTTTTGAGCATTAAGGTTGAACCATTTTGAACATGGTTTAAAAAGGCTGCTGAATCGTGCAACTTCGTATTCACTCTTGCTGCATAAAGTTTTCATTATGGCTGCTCTTCAGCTCCTTTGTTAGATTGTTTCTATTTTTTTCGCCTTAATCATTTTAAAGATATATTTGTTATATTTATATTTATATAATATTTATTTTATATTAAACACATATAAAAAATAAAAATAATTATATTAAATTTATATTAATACGATCAAATATAAAATATATTTTTTATTTTTATCAAATACATATATAATTTTTATTAAAATTTTAAATTATATTATTTTTATTTTTTTATATTTAATTTTTTAAACGTATTTAAAATTAGCAAATTTAATAACATTGATATCATGTATTTAAGATTTTATTTTTAATTTCTTTTTACGAAAATCAAATCTTAAGAACAAAAAATAAAATATTCTACTAAATAATTATTTTGATAAACACATTGATAATATCGTTAAACCATAAAATGCATTATTTTTGTATTAATAAACCATAAATGTAGAAAACAAAGAAGAAAAGGGAATTATTCACAAATTTTTTCTATGATGTTTATACTTTCAAATTTCTTCTTTTTTTTTCTCAAAATTTAATGTATAATTCATTTGTAAGAAACAACTAACAATAAAGTAATGTAAATGTTGTACAAATATATAGTCATAAGAAATCAACAACATCTACGACCGCAGAAGAGCCGCCGACCCAATGGCCGACCATCTTCCTATGAAAGACACGTTTAACATGTGTTCTTATACTGTATGAACAACGACATTTCCAGCAGCCTCCGGGGGGGAAAACGCCAAGAACATGAGAGCAGCCATGATCCCAACTGGAAACAGCAGAAGCATCAATGGCGGAGGCGGTAGCGGCGGCAACACCAGCGGAAGAATCATCATAGACGCAGCCAACGCCGCCAGCAGTAGTAATCCCCCTAGTCCAAATGACCCAAAAGACTTTGCCATCGTCCAGGTGCTCTCCTCCAATCTTGTTATCGTCAAAACCCTTATCATTTCTCGCCAAAAGGCGATAAATCAAATATTCTTTTAATAAAAATCGAGTATCCAAGCTCTTCTACAAACTGAACCAATTATTCAGATTAAATGTTCAAATAACAAAACAAAAGTAATCAAATTTTCTTGAAAGAAGATGAAAGGATTTGGGATTGGGGTTTTGAGAGAGAATAATGAAAGAATGAAACCAGTTAGAGATTTCGAGAAATTTTTTAGGTGGAAATGGTGGACATATTAGTTTATATATATAGTTGAATGATGGCTGCGGATAATCTCAGCCGTTGATTTAGGGGTTTAATGTGAAGGAGTCGTTTGGTTTTTTTTTTTTTTTAATCAAGAAATCCGTATCGAGTCTTGTTCCGTATCAGACAGAATCAAGGCGACAGATCTCAACATATTTAGCTGAATCTTTTTGGGTACATTTTTAAATATTTTATAAATTAATTTGAGACATAATATTTTTTAATTATTAAATAATTATTAATTAACTGTTATTAATATTTTTTATAAATTTTATTGAAATTAAAAATTAATAATAATTAATTAGTTCAATCGATTAGATTTATCATTATAGATAAAAAAATTTTAAATTCAAATTTTATCGTTAATAACTTATTGAAATCATTTCGAATGTACGATCTGTAATCATTTGTCTTAAACTGTTATGTACGATATATCTTATTTTGACATATAGACTAAATAATTTATCAAAAAAAAATTAAAAAATGATTAAATTTGTTTTTTTGTTGAAAAAAGTTAATGAACGGTTAGTGACACTAGTTAAGATAATATTTAAAATATATATAATTAATGCATTAATTTTTTTGTATTGGTGAAAATAAAACATAAATATAAAAAATTTTAAATATAATAATTAATAATCCTTACTAGTTTTGCTTTTTGTCCTTTGATTATGATTTTTTTTTAGATGAAAAAGTAGAGAAAATAATAATAATAAGTTTTTTTATTATTTGAGAAATTATTTTATTATTATAATAATATAACTGTTACGCAAATTAATTTATTCTTTTTGTCCGAAAGTTAGATGATTGGTTGTAAAGTATTCTGATATGTCTGTTTTATGACTTACGTGGGAACATTTTTTTTTTATCAGAAAAAATTCATAAACACAAACAAATAAGTACAACCAACAAACATTGAGTTATTGTCACTAAAGCAAGGTTTTACAATTACCAATTATGCTAAATTAAGTTGCCATTAATTTACTTTTAATCACTATTTTTAATTAAAAATTGCTTATTTGTAATTAATAGTATATTTGTGAGCGTCATTTATTTATTTTTTCAATTTAAGGTTTCTATTTTTCTACTATAAGTTGGAAAATTGTTTTATTGAAATATTATCTATAACTATGCATGATCCTTTCACCTGTAAATATAGGGGAAAATTTTTTCTTATAATGATAACATTTAATGTTTTAATAATAAATTACACTAATAAATTCATTTAATATAAATTTTAACAAATAATTAGAATTTTGATTTTATAAGGTTCATCTAAATTTTCTTAATTTTGATGAGAACTAAATAATAATAATAATAATATTGATGATGACGACGACGATGAAATTATAAATTAAAATCATTGATCGGAGATCAACACTTACCTAGTTTCTTTTAGAATCAATTCAAAGTTATGAAAATCATATATAATTAAATTAAATTTTACAAAAAACTTGTCGTTTTCATCTACTTTAAACACCAAGTCTAAATCATATATCTCTTATATTGTTAAAATTCCCAATCTCGATTGAAATAAAGTTTGTTAAGTGCATTTGGATATAAGCTTTATTTTGTAAATGACACCAAATAGAAAGATTGGACTAAAATTTAGTTGAACTAGGAAATGTGATGGGCCTAAATAGCAAAAGTAATAGCACAAATATAAACAATTTTTATTTCTCACGTTTATGACAAGAAAAAAAAAATGACAATTGATTTCCGTCCATTATTTACTTTGCAAAGCGAAGGACGAAACTTCATGACAATTGCCAAGAAGGCCATAACACAATGAAGTTGTGGAAATTCCCAATATTTTTAGCCCAAATTTCTTTTTCTTACACATTAAAGATAAAAGTTCGATTCTGATATATTTTTAATAAAATTTTTTAACTTAACAAACAAAATTAAGAAATTGATACATATTTTTTTAATTAATTTTTTATATTTTTAATGCATAAAAAGATACGTGTCAATTTATTAATCTAATTTATAAATTTTAAAAATTTCACTATCGATATGAAATAAAGATATTGACAAATTGAATTGGACAAACTTGGTTCATTCACTTTAACTAGGTAGAAATCCATGTTCAAAGTATTTAAACCAACAATTTGGTATTGTTGAGGTGATGGAAATAATAGCTGCCATGCATTTACCTAGTCAATTAAACATTCCAACACGACTTTTAATTTTCTTTTTGTTTATGGAGACTTTGAACATTAAAACCTAACCTCTATGTAAAAAATTTTCAACTATTTGATTAATTCTATAGAGTTAATAACTCCCGTGGTCCTTAAATTTTGAGTTAAATTATATTTTGATTTTTAATTTTTTAAAAAATTTAA